GTGGACGTGGTCCCTGCCCATGGCAGGGGGTTGGAACTGGATGGGCTTTAAGGTCCCTTCCAACCCAAACCATTCTGTGATTTGCTACGTGTAAGGCGTTAACTGTGTGCAGAGATGCATCGATCTGCGTTTCAGGGTGCCTTTTGTGCTCCACCCCTTAACCCCCCCACCCTGCCTCATGCATTTCCTCGATAGCTGCTTTTACGGTTTCCAATTAAATGATGTAACAGTCAATATCCCATAGAGAGATCAGCCAGCGTGGGCTCTGCTGAAGGCCTTGGCATTCTGTAAGATCCAAATGCCAGCAGAAGAATGACGTGATCTGCTCTGGGGTCGGCAAAGCCTGCGCTCTAGGCAGGTGTGAGCAGGCTTCGCTGGGTGCTGCCAGTGAAGTCACCCCAGGGCAGCCTGGCTCCAAACCCGGGTACGCACATGGGGGCTGTTCCCGTGACCCCCGCTGCTGAAGGGATGACCGTTTATTCCAGGTGGTTGTGTTTCTCCTAATGGACACATCTGGCTGCTGCCTTTATACCTCTTTGCTCCAAAGATGCTGAACTTAGAATCATAGAATCACAGAATGGTTAGGGTTGGAAGGGACCTTAAAGATTATCTAGTTCCAACCCCCCTGCCATGGGCAGGGACACCTTCCACTAGACCAGGTTGCTCCAAGCCTCATCCAGCCTGGCCTTGGACACTTCCAGGGATGGGGCATCCACAGCTTCTCTGGGCAACCTGTCCCAGTGCCTCACCACCCTCTCTGTGAAGAATTTCTTCCTGATATCTAATATAAACCTCCCTGTTTTCAATTTATACCCGTTACCCCTTGTCCTGTCACTACAGGCTCTTGTAAAAAGTCCTCTCCCAGCACCCTTGTAGCCCCTTCAGGTACTGGAAAGCTGCAATGAGGTCTCCTCGGAGCCTCCTCTTCTTCAGGCTGAACAAGCCCAGTTCTCGCAGCCTTTCATCATAGGAGAGGTGCTCCAGCCCTCTGAGCATCTCCGTGGCCTCCTCTGGACTCGCCCTTTCCCGTCTCAGGGGGCTTCTCGTGCTCTGCGTCGCCGGTCTGGTTTTCGAGAGGTGGGAGCAACTGTCCTTCGTGAGGTTGTTCGGTGTCTTGGTTCAACAGTGTAGGAAAAGGAGCTCTGGAGGGCTGCTGGTTTCAGTGAGGAGTTGTGACCCCAAATTCCTTATGTAAAGCAAAACTTTTGGAGGGGTGGAAGAGAGACGATTTGGATCTTACGGCAAGTGAAGTGCCTGTGGGAGTAGGTTGGAGAAGACATCTCTCTTTGCAGCTCTGTGTGTGCCAAAGATACAGAGAGATAAGAAACTGAGAAAATGTCACACCTCAATAAAAGCAGTTCTGTTCTAGATGGGGTTTTTGGTTCTGCCGATGACCTGATTGATTTTGCATGCTGCAGGTAGAGCTTCAGGAAACGGCACTTTCCTCTTTTAAAGGATCCTGAGCATCCATTAGGGGCTTAGTCTTTAAAGCCGTCATCCTTCAGTGGTCCACGTGTTGACACGCGTAGCCTGAAGTACTCCTGGTGCGGAACTGGTCGTGTTCGGTAACTGATGGTACCTTCTTCCAATTTCATCCGTGCCCTGGGAGCAGCAGTTGGAGGCCTTGTCTAAGAACTGTGAAGGGTGTTGGTCTTGATCAAAGATTACGGTGATAAATTCGGTCTTTGGCACGAGCCCACTGAATGGAGACGTTAAATCTGGGAGATGGCCACCAGCTCTGCTGGTTCTCCTCTCTTGTCTTTGGGAATTAGATGCTGCTTTTGTTTTCCTCCGGCTCTTTAATGTCTCATCTCCTGCTGGGGCTGGAAGGCTTCACTGGCTGGCGTGACCACTAGTGAGTGCATCTGTAGCTGGGGACACACATTCCACACCTGAGGTGAAATCTTTCACAGGTGGAATTCTTGTCATGATAGAGACCGGCTGAGCAGAACTGGAAATGGGGCGCGCAGCGCAGCAAAGCAAATGAGGATGAAAGTTTAATGGTTTGGGCTGTAAACCAAACAAGTGCACGTTCTAAACCTGGTTGGAGATCAGGGCGAAGGGGAGACCAGCAAAGGCGCTAGCGGATTCCTAGATGCGTTTTTTCTTGCGCTCTTGCCGTTCGCTTTGTTCTGCCAACTTCTTGGAACGGAATGTGCCGTGCGGAACGTCCCACTGCTCACAAAAAGGCCGGGCCTCAAAAATAGCACATCCAGGAAGATCTTGTACTGCTGCGTGGTAGCTACCGCATCCCTGTGTCTCCGAGTCCCTGACCAAGCCTGTTCTCCCCCAGTCCTCTCTCATCTGATGTAGTAAACGGCGTGTGTGAGATGTTGGGGGCTTGTGTCTCTCCTGACATCTGTCACTCGTAATTAACGGGGTGACTTCGCAGAACTTCCGTTACCTGGAAGCTTCACTCCTGCCGACCTCGACTGACAGGCGCAAGCTCCTCCCAGGGCTTACCAACTTCTGCGGGGTACGGCTGTCGCTGTCACACTTTGAGAACCAAAAAGGCTTTTCGAACAGCAGCGATACAGAGGGCTAACGCTGCGCCTGTGTGTCCGTAGTCATTTCTGCGACCTCGCACGTTCCCGGTGGCTGCCTTAGATCTGTTTCGTTACCCGGTCTCAAGCGTTTGAAGGCTGCGGTGTTACACCGATTGCTGAGGTGTAAGTATGTATCTAATCCGGTCAGCTTCAGCATGGCTTCCCAAAATTCCTTGTACAAGGAGGATGCGGTTTATGCACCATCACTTTCCCCGTAGTTGACGTTTGGCTTCACTGGTGTGGTGACCCTGCCGTCATCGCTCCCTGGCAGTGGGCGCTGAGACCGCGCTGTGGTCAGACTGGCTCTTGGCAATGCAGTGTTACTCGGGGGGCGTCTCTGGAAGGGATGGGGGGAAAACGGAGGCTGTCCACTTCGGTAGCTTCATCCTTTGGGACTTGTTCCCTTTCTGGGACTCTGGCTATAATTTTCTTGCTCAGTAACTATTTACTGTATGTTGCTGTTAATCACAGAATCACAGAATGGTTTGGGTTGGAAGGGACCTTAAAGCCCATCCAGTTCTAACCCCCCTGCCATGGGCAGGGACACCTTCCACTAGACCAGGTTGCTCCAAGCCTCATCCAGCCTGGCCTTGGACACTTCCAGGGATGGGGCATCCACAGCTTCTCCGGGCAACCTGTCCCAGTGCCTCACCACCCTCTCCAGGAAGAACTTCTTCCTGATATCCACTCTAAACCTCCCCACTTTCAATTTAAACCCGTTACCCCTTGTCCTGTCACTACAGGCCCTTGTCAAAAGTGCCCCCCAGCTTCCTTGTAGCCCCTTGTAGGTTAATCTCTTTCAAGGCAAAGGCTTTGGAAGGCTCTTGCTAACCTCTTCGTCACACCCTCCCCAAGCGCTGGGAGTCGTTTCAGCTGAGACAGGCAGCAGCCTGCTGTCTGCCCTGGGTGACACCTCGGTTGTGGTGGGGAACTTGCTTGTTGATTTTTTTTTTTTTGGAGCTCTCACTTGTTGCTTCCGATCAGCTCCTAGTCCCGACGCGCAGGGCTGCCGGCCAAGTGGTTTCCTGCTTCTGCTGAGCTTGAGCCTCCTCAGGTCTGCAGGTACATCCCACCCTACGTCTGAACCTGCCTGGGCGGTCTCGGAATGACAGCCTTCGGATGCCAGCAGTGCTGGGGTAGGTGCCAGTTCTCTTGGCCCCTGCGGAGAACTTCATCAGGAAGGCGGGCTCTTGCAGGCTGAAGGAGGGACTGTTGGTTCCTAGAGCTTCAGTCATCACCTTCTGGTCTCCGAGTCTTGCTTCATACTTGGGTGTGACAGGGAGAGGTCCCCTTGCCCAGAATCAAGGACCTCATCTCCGCACAGGTGCGAAGGGCTCCAGCTTTTGGCTCCCAGGACTGTATCAGATATCAGCAGGTGTGAAGTTCCTGGGACTGTAGGTACAGGGAAAAAAAGTCAGTCTTGGACACTTTTTCCTTTTGAAATGGAAGCTATACGGCTTGTGTTCTGGCACACCTTACTCTAGTGTTTTTCCTCCTTTCACATGGATGCACTTAGGCATGGAAATGAATGTGGAACTTGAGTTTGTTTCAGCTGAGCAGGGTTTAAAATCTGCTTAGCCCATCTGATCAGTCTCGTTAAGAGCACACAGTTCCAGAACAGCGTTCTCTTGTTAGAAAACTCCCAATTCCGGCAGGGAATGAGCTCGGTCTGCCATCCTCTTGAATTTTAAGAAGAAATTTTGAAGGAGGCTGCTGGTTGCAGGAAGTAGGTATTGAGGGACTGAATTGGAACCGTGGTGACTTGAGGAGGAAGGAAAGACTGGGGGAGTTGGGGGGAATTCTTAAAATGGATGGCATCCTGTAAGTCCATGTCACCCTCGGGATTGGAGTTGTGTGTCTGGAGAAGGTTGTCCAGCAGCCTCCTTTGTTCCCAGATCTCCTCCAGTGTTTCCTGGAGTGACTTGTAACCTGCCATTTCCTTCACTCGAAACGTGACATTTGTGCTGCATTAGTGAAAACGCACGTGACGTTCTCATGAAAGGCTGGGGGGTTGTGTGGAAACCAAGAGGGAGAAACCTTACGGCCTGGTTTGTGGTATCAGACAATGGCACCCTCCGAAACCTGGAACAGCACGCCCCGAAAGTTGGTTTCTAGGGTTCGGCAACGCAGGGTCTGGTTTACAGGTAAGCAGCCCAGACAGCTGGTCTGGGAAGAAGGCCGTGTAGCAATCCTTCCCCTTTTCCCACCATCAGGTTACAAGACAGATCCATGAGCATGAGCAGGAGAACGAGTTGCGGGAACAGATGTCAGGATATAAGCGGATGCGGCGCCAGCACCAGAAGCAGCTGATCGCCCTGGAAAACAAGTTGAAGGCCGAGATGGACGAGCACCGCCTCAAGCTGCAGAAGGAGGTGGAGACACATGCCAACAACTCGTCCATTGAGCTGGAGAAGCTGGCCAAGAAGCAAGTGGCTGTGATGGAGAAAGAGGTGAGTAGAGTTGCCGGCTCCCTAGCTGGGCGTGGGGGGAGAGGTGTCTCTAAGAGAGTAGAGATCTCCAAGAGAAGGCTGTGGAAATACCGCTTAAAACCCACGTTCTTAAGCGTACTGCGTGGCTACCGCCCAGAGCTGCCCCGGCCAGCTTTGTGAAGGAGTGTCACTCCAAGCCAACCTTCCGGACGACGGGCGCCGCAGGTAGCGGCGGCTGGCTGAGAGGGGCTGACAGACTGTGGGGACCCTGGAGGGAGCCGCAGCCTCGTGGCGAGGGGAAGGACACAGCTTGCTGCTGTTGGAAAGCCAGCGTTAATCCGTGCGGTGAATCGGTGGGGTTTCTCCCTCCGGGGTGCTTTGGTGCAGGTAAGAAGCAGAAGGGAACTCTGAAATGGGCATTGTCGGGTTTTCGTGTGAGCAGCTTTTGTGGGGCTGAACGCTCGTGGCTTTGTCTGTCACGGCGACGGGAGAGTGACAGACCAAAAACGGCACGACAGGAGGCTGGTTTGTGCTGGGTTCGGTACCTGCTCCCTCACCCTCTTGTCCTTTTTTCCTCTGTGCCTTGCAGGCAAAGGCAGCTGCTGCAGATGAAAAGAAATTCCAGCAACAGATTTTGGCTCAGCAAAAGAAAGACCTGGCGACCTTTTTAGAAAGTCAGAAGAAACAATACAAGCTTTGCAAGGAAAAGATTAAAGAGGCAAGAAACCATCGTTTTTAGGGCTGAAGGGGTGGGGAACAAACACGAACTAGACTTCTCGTTTTGATAAACCTGGGCCAGCCCAGGGGTTTAAGGGATAATGTCGTGCTTGGAAAAAAGTTCAGATTCTCCGCAAGTAAACTTTCAGGAACTGGGAGCATCTGGCAGCATTTCCAGAATGATCTGTAAGGGTGCTGGGGGTGCCTTGGCAGTTTGCGGTAGAGCAGAATCTCCGACGCCAAGGGTGATGAGGGAAAGCGGGACTTCACAGGGAATTCTCTTCCCCTTTCTCCCCATCTGTGTGGGGGTTTGGGGTTTTTTTTTTTGCTTAAGCTGTAAGTAATCAGAGCAGCCGGTGAGATGCCACTTGACTAAAGCCCTGTGAGCACTGATACGAACTAGAAAAAGAATTAACTCAATATATAGCTTATCCGTCCCAAACTGCATTACTTGAGTACAGCGGCCCCGCCGCATCGCAGAACCGTTTGCTGTTGAACGTAGAGGTGGGAATGTGGGCAGCGAGGAGCCCTGTCAGGGGTCTGATTCGACAGAGGATCCACCATGAGTCCCGAGTCCCGTTGAAGTAAAACTCAAGCCCGAGCTGGGACTCCCCTGTCAAACAGGAGTGGAGCTGGGAGGGGAGCCAAGGGGTTTGACCCCGTCTCTCTCCTGGACCGCCAGCACGTCCCCTGCAGCGGTGTGTTGCTCCCCCTTCCCTGCTGCCTCTTTCATTTGTCTTTCACGGCCACTTTTCCCAACTCCTCTCCGTGCGTCATCGTCCAGCTCCGGGGGCAGGAGGGCTGGGCGCGGGCAGGGACCACTCCGGTTCCTGGGGCTGTGGTCAGGACGCGGTGCCCTTGAGTGAACTGGCTGGCAGAGTACAGGCAGTGACTGACGGTGCTCCGGGCCCTCTGTCACCGTGATCCTGAGGGAAATCTTGTTTCCGGCCCTGTGTGCACGCAGGAGATGAATGAGGACCACAGCACGCCGAAGAAGGAGAAGCAAGAAAGAATATCCAAACACAAAGAGAACCTGCAGCACACACAGGCTGAAGAGGAGGCCCATCTTCTCAGCCAGCAGAGACTCTACTACGACAAAAACTGCCGCTTCTTCAAGAGAAAAACGATGATCAAGAGGCATGAGATGGAGCAGCAGAACATTCGGGAAGTATGGCACTCTTTTTTTCCTTTCCCAAGCATTTCTTTGATTGCTGTAGCCTCCCGTTCGTGCAGCCGCTGACTGACAGTGCATCTTCACGCTTCCCGTTGCTAAATAGAACCGAGAAAAACATAGGAAACGTGTTTTGGGAAACGGCTCTGCACGCAGACGTGGCTTTCGTGAAGCGAGGAGGGTGGCGGAGTTGGCCGGCAGCGTTACGTGGGCCCCGCGCTGGGCCAGGCGCTGCGTCGGGGTTCCGGGGCGTTAGGGTAACAGACCGGGGAAGCACCAGAAATTCCATCCCCTGGCATATCTGCGTTCTGGTTGGCCACGGAAAACCAGATGTTTTGACACCACGCTGGGTAACTGAAGGCTGTCCTCACCCCTGCCACGGGCCTTTCACGCCCTCATAAGGGTTTTCCACTGGGTTGGGTTCCGGTTAGCGCACGGCATCGTTGGTCAGTGAGAAGCTATCCGGCATCTCGCTTTTCCTCCTTAGCTGTTCACCCCTGCCTTCCCGACTGCGGGACTCCAATGCCGCTTTGGAGAGAGAGTTGGTACATCGGAGCTTCCGAATTCTCCATAAATGCGATTTCTGGATAAAGACTATCTGAGAAGGCAGCTTAGTAAAGGCTAGAGTGAGAGAGCGATCAAAAATCTCTAATAATCAGGTACTTGCTCTGGTACCGTTATGTTTTCCGGCGTATTTTACGTTGTGGTGTATTTTACCCCTTCGGAGCTTCGCTGTCCCGGACTCCAGAGGTGCCAGGGGCTGCTCAGCCGCTTTGCGCGTCGCGTCCAGACGTCCCAGCTCAAAACGAGAGGCTGAAAACTCAGATTTGGGCACCCTTATGGCGGCATGAAAGCCCTGTGGCAGGGGTGAGGACAGGCTTCGGGTACCCAGCGTGGTGTTTGACCCAGGAAATGCTCCTTTGAACTCCTGCGTGTAAGCTCTGAAGAGACCTAATTTTCAGTGATCTGTTTATTTCCTGAAAATAACGTCCCTCCTAACTAGCTCAAATCCACGGGATCAGACAGCTGAAGTAACTAGTACTTCAAGAATGTTTTTCCTGATGTTTTTCCAGGGGCCTACAAGGAAGCTGGGGGGGACTTTTTAGAAGAGCCTGTAGTGACAGGACAAGGGGTAACGGGTTTAAATTGAAAGTGGGGAGGTTTAGATTAGATATCAGGAAGAAGTTCTTCGCAGAGAGGGTGGGGAGGCACTGGCACAGGTTGCCCAGAGAAGCTGTGGATGCCCCATCCCTGGAAGGGTCCAAGGCCAGGCTGGATGAGGCTTGGAGCAACCTGGTCTAGTGGAAGGCGTCCCTGCCCATGGCAGGGGGGTGGGACTGGATGGTTTTTAAGGTCCCTTCCAACCCAAACCATTCCATGATTCTGTGTTTTCATTAACCACCGAGGTTCTTTTTGCACAAACGGGGAAGTGTTGGTGAGGAGGGGAGTGCCTGTTGGTTCACGCTGTGTTTCACGCAGTGAGCTATGGAGCGGGCACGGAGAGGCTGGTTGTCCACCCCTAAGACGAAGGCACGAGTGCCGCGGCTCGCCGCCTGGCCTGGCACGCTGTCCGAGTGCCGCCTGCCCTTTGCACAGCGGGGCGTGACCTCAGTAGCTCCAGTTGTTGATCTTGGCTGTCCAGATGCAAGTTTTGCTTAAATGTAAACACGTGTGATGAGGGCCACGGACGCGGAGGCAGGGCCTGGCCGG